TAGCGTTAAATCTTCCAACTCTTCTCTGACCATTGACTTTGAATGGGGTGACGTCAATTTGCCTCGCTTTTCGCCGAACTGCATTATGGGGAAGCAAAGCGAAGATTTTCAGGATTTAAAAATTGAGCTTCAACTTTTGAAGCTGAGGTGGAAGCGTCAGCCAATCAAATCCCGTTTATGCAAATCTGACAATACAAGCGCTAGCCCATCAAACCGTGTGCAAACTGGGAGAGCCAGACCGCAGTTCATTTTCTATATTCCTGAAAATGGAGGAGAAATTAGTTATTGCGGTAGCAAATCACCCGGTTCTTTATGACCAGTCGCTAATAACTTACCGGTAGGTTTTCGCCTGTTTCGGGAGTTTATATCCAGTTTACTTCGTTTTAACATTGCTAAGGCTTTGTATGTCGGGGGCGGGAGATTCATGTGATTGGTTGTTGGTTGCGTTGCTCGCAAAAAATCCCCAAGCTTTCAGACACGCCCAGCTCCAAGATTTTCAAGATTTCTTTTAAAGCTGCTGTGTGGACGGGCAAGTGTCTTTCAAACCTTTGTGATTGTTTTTTTAATCTCTTTTGAACTGATTATGTAAGTTCAATATTACAGTGTCTTTTCATATGTGATAAGCTTTGGGAATTTCTGTTTTTCTCAAGGAATTAAGAGTGGACGATGCTTAAGAAAAGATGAAAACTCCACTGGTACCTGTGAAATATACGGCTGGTGTCCCATTGAAAGAAAATTCAAACCGCGGTAAGCAATCACAGAGAAACTCTTGCAATTGTATATAAATATTTGATGTACTGTAAATTGGTTCAACAAAATCCTCAAGGCATTAGCTTGTTTTTGTTTTTTTACAGTAAACCTCTGCTGTTAAACGCTGAAAACTTCACCATCTACATCAAGAATTTCATCTTATTTCCCAAATTCCAATTTTCAAAGTAGGCCAATATCTATCCCTCTGTGTGTAACACTCCTTGTACTGCTAGTGTCCCAGAAGCAGTTCACATTTATATTCTCACCGTACAACTGTGTGTGTTTTTCAACTATAAGGTCCAACATCCTCGAAACGAGTGACGACTCCTTTTTGAAAAAATGCAGATTTGATGAGCAGCTCTACCCTTACTGCCCCATCTTTCGCCTGGGGGACATCACCAGGAGAGCTGGATACAACTTCCAGGACATGGCCACATTTGTTAGTATTTATTTTTGATTGTCTGAAACCTTAATTTTAATGAAACATCGGCACGATTTCTGTTAAAGCTGATACACTTTAAGAGTCAACAATTACCCAACATGTAAAACCTTACCTCTCCCTAATTCAAAAAAACATTACAGAATGAGTGTACTGTAAGTGTAAAAAACAAAGTGTAAATCTCAACATCACAACATGTCAGGCAATGTCCTCCCCTCTGTCGCCCCCTTCAAACTCCACACATCTCCAATAAAGGCACTCACACAGACACACAAATACCTTTAATAAAAAAAGATGTACATAATTAGGGTGAGGGGTCAAGGCTTAATATTAAAACGGGCACTGCTCCCCCCTTTACCCCCTTTTCCCCCTTAAGACCCACCATTTCCCTTTTTTTTTTACTATGATTAGTTAACACAGTTGTTTGGTATTGTGTTTCCCAGGGTGGCTCCATTGGCCTTTTGATAGAGTGGGACTGTGACCTTGACAAAGGCTACTCTAACTGTAATCCACATTACCATTTCACACGTCTGGACATCTCCAACAACTCAATCTCAACAGGATTTAACTTCAGGTCAGAGTCGCTGCAGACTGTATGTTTCTACAGTATGTTGCAAAGACAAATATTTACAATTTTCTTCAACAATGTAATGTATTTACAATTCAAAAACACATTTGTAAGGAAATTATTCAAATATTTGATGTGTAAGCAGAAAGCTTACACATCTTCCGGCGCAGACTGAAAACTCATCTCTTTCGACTCCACTTCGAGCAATTAAAAAAAAACGCACTTATATACTAACAAAGCACTTCTATACTAACTAAGCACTTATATACTAACTAAGCACTTATATACTAACAAAGCACTTATATACTAACTAAGCACTCGTATACTAACAAAGCACTCGTATACTAACAAAGCACTCGTATACTAACAAAGCACTTATATACTAACAAAGCATTTTACAACAGCACTCTATACACAAAGCACTCGTATACTAACAAAGCACTCGTATACTAACAAAGCACTTATATACTAACTAAGCACTTATATACTAACTAAGCACTCGTATACTAACAAAGCACTTATATACTAACTAAGCACTCGTATACTAACTAAGCACTCGTATACTAACTAAGCACTCGTATACTAACTAAGCACTCGTATACTAACTAAGCACTCGTATACTAACAAAGCACTCGTATACTAACTAAGCACTTATATACTAACTAAGCACTCGTATACTAACAAAGCACTCGTATACTAACAAAGCACTTATATACTAACTAAGCACTTATATACTAACTAAGCACTTATATACTAACTAAGCACTCGTATACTAACAAAGCACTTATATACTAACTAAGCACTCGTATACTAACAAAGCACTTATATACTAACTAAGCACTCGTATACTAACAAAGCACTTACAGTATATACTAACTAAGCACTCGTATACTAACAAAGCACTTATATACTAACTAAGCACTTATATACTAACTAAGCACTCGTATACTAACAAAGCACTCGTATACTAACAAAGCACTTATATACTAACAAAGCACTCGTATACTAACAAAGCACTTATATACTAACTAAGCACTTATATACTAACAAAGGACTGGCTTATCTAAAGCCTGTTGAGTATCACTTGAAATGTTTTAGCTCTATGAAACCTGATGTACTTATGTGATTCTGTTTTCTTCAAGTTTGTATCTTCTTGGTCGAATGCACTTATTGTAAGTCGCTTTGGATAAAAGGGTCAGCTAAATGAAATGTAATGTAATTCAATGAAAGTCTTAATTGCGTCTTATTTTGTTGTCATTCTCATGCCTCTATAATTTCCCATTTGTTCCTCAACAGACACACTCGTTATTTCAAAAATGCTGCTGGTGAGAGCTATCGATCTCTATTCAAAGTCTACGGTGTCAGATTTAACATTATGGTCCACGGAAAGGTAAATGCATTTCTTTTTAGGATGAATACATGAAATACTGCTCTGCTCTGCCAAAGCATGATGATGCAGGCTCTCTTGATAAATAAACAACAGTTATAACCTTTTATATTGGTCATTTTCCACTTTCTCATTCTACATAACTTGTATTTCCTCTGCTTTTCATAGGCGGGGATGTTCAGCATTATCCCAACAACCATCAACGTGGGTTCAGGACTGGCTTTAATGGGAGCTGTAAGTACCATCGATAATCATTTGTTTTAAAAAGAACTGCACAGGATTTTAGATTTTGCCAGTTGCGACGGTAACTCAGTAAAACTTAATTTCACAGGGAGCTTTCTTCTGTGATATGGTCCTCCTCTACCTGATGAAGAAGAGCGACTCTTATCGAGAAAGGAAATTTGAAGGACCAAAGTAGGAAAAGCAACACATGGGTTGAGATCTATGAGGCATCACAGTGCATATTATACTGTACAGATAAGAACCTTCATAGGTCAAAGACACTGAAGCATTTGATTGGTAATATCTGGTTTAACATGTATTTATTTTTTAAATACCGTAAAATGACACATTATGAAACATGGCTTATCTCAATAAATGAATTGTAATTGGTTTTGTTAATAATGTGCATACTATGTAGTTTAACAGGTATGTGTGTTCCACAGAATAAAGACATCAACAGCTAAAGACAGAAATGCTGCCACAGTACAGGAGAAACTGACATGTTTTACTTTTTAACACGAGATGAGTTTGTAATTGTTGGTTATAGTGTAATACAATACATAGAAAACATGTCATGTAAAAAATGACATTTAGAACAGTTTAATATTCTTATGTGAAGCTCTAATAAGAAAAGGCAACAAAATATGAGTCTGAAGTCGTTAGTTATCAGTTGCTACTTTATTTTTCAATTTTTAAAAACATATTTTTAAATATTTGAATTTGCTGGTTAAGTCAAAACGACTGTCGGTTACTGCTTGATTTAAAAAGATCAATAATTAATGTGAAGGGAAATGACCTCATAAATGAATTGCCAGTTTTCCTCTTCCATCTTGTTTTTGAGTTGTACATCAGTGACGTCAGTAACAAACTAAACATGTTATTAACACAGAGCACTGCTTGTATATAAGTTGATGTAAATAGAGGTTTTAATAAAACACTTGACGTGGTTGAAAATATATAATTATCACATTATTGTTTATTATAATAACAAACACAAGAAGAGATTTGGTACACACACACACACACACACACACACACACACACACACAC